TTCTTCTGCTAGTTGGGGTTTAGTCCACTTCTACATCCTTCCCTTCAAGGCTCAGGGGTCCAGGATTATCTTCTGTGTCTGTGTTAATTGGTTTCCCTTGTCTTTGTTGAAGAGGGTCTGTGCAGTCTTTCTGCCTAGTCCACCATCTTGCTGGAACTCCTCACGTCTCTTGTTCTCAAGAGTCCTCTTTGCCATCTCTGCAGCCTGTGCTGGGCCCGGGGGGCTGGGCCTCACCTGCATCCACCACTGGGGCCCGTCTCTAAGGCCAGCAGAGTAGGAAGGCAGAGAGGCAAGGCGTGGGGGTCCCCACTGAGGCCTGGAGTGTGACCAGGTAATGGTGGGTTCCTGTTCCTCCGGAAGCACCCCTGACCACCACCCTCACGCCCTGTGGATTCCATGGGGGTGGGGAAGGGGTGCCCACTGTACCACGTGCATATCGGGCTGAGTGAGGATGGAGGGGGAACAGGGTCCAGCCTGACTCTCACATGCCAATTTTTGTATAACGACCTGGTCTGCGGAACCTAACCACGTTTAGAAGTGAGCAGTAATTGTACATACATAAGCCACTAATACAGGCATTTATTACAACTGTTGTTAGGTGCTGTGGAGTCCGCTCTGACTCATGGGGACCCAATGAACAAAACACTGCCCAGGTGTGCACCATCCTCACAGTGCTTGCTACACTTGACCCCATGTTGCAGCCTCTGTGTAAGTCCATCTTGTTGAGGGTCTTGCCATTTTTTGCTGACCCTCCACTTTGTGAAGCATGACATCCTTCTCCAGCGAATGGTTCCTTCTGACAACATGACCAAAGTAGGTGAGACGAAGTCTGGTCATTCTCGCTTCCATGGGGCATTCCGGCTGCACTTCTTCCAGGACAGATCTGTTTTTTTCTTTTGGAAGCCCATGGAATCAGGAATCGTGATCAGATTAACTTGGGAAAGAGTCCTGTAGCCGTGGCTCTAAAAAACAACCACCGAGGCAAACAGCAAAACCTGCAAAAGCCAGAAGCTGTGTAAGGTGGCAACCTGTCAGAGAAGGAAAACGCAAAAATTTTCCAGGAAGAGGACCAAAAGAAAAGTGGTAATTCTGCACTCTGCCAGTGGTGGGAATCCTGCCAGACCCGGAAAAAAGGCCGTTCCGTGAAGTTCTGGCTCTCGCAGGTTTCCCTGCCCTGTGAGCCAGTGGCAAGGGCCTCAGTGGCTATGTCTCGATGAGCAGACCATTTACACCAGGAAACTGAGGGACCCCCACTGAATCCCCATGCACGTCTGTGCACCTAACCACAAATAAGGCCTCATTAGGGACTGAATGGTGCCCCCCCAAAAAAAGCATGTTCTGTAATCCTAACTCCTATACCTGTCATTAAGGAGCTCTGGTGGTGCAGTGCCTAAGGCATCTGACTGATAACCAGAAGGTTGGCAGTTCAAACCCAGCAGCCACTCCTTGGAAGGAAGACTGGGCAATCTACTTCTGTAAAGATTTACCACCTCAGATACCCAAAGGGGGTTGCTGTGAATCAGAATCCATTTGATGTAAGTGAGTTAGTTTTTTTTTGTTTTATACCTGTTGTCAAGGCACTTTGGTGGCGTAGTGCCTAAGGCATTTCACCGCTAATCAGAAGGTTCCACTCCGTGGAAGGAAGACTGGACAATCTACTTCCACAAAGATTTACTGCCTGGGAAACCCAATGGGGGTCCCAGCGTGTCAGAACTGACTTGATGGCAGTGGGGTTTGGTTTCGTTTTGGTTTATACCTATGGTTTAAGAAGCTCTGATATTGTAGTGGGTAAGGCATTTGGCGGGAGCTCTGATGGTGTAGTGCCTAAGGCACTTGACTGCTAACCAGAAGGCTGGTGGTTCATACCCACCAGCCACTCCTGGGAAGGAAGATGGGGCAATCTACTTCCGTAGCG